AGTGAAACCGCAATGGCGACGAAGCGAGCTTCCAACAGCAATGGCGGCAAAGCAACCGCCTAGGGAAGAGCAAGCAAACTTGGTGGCAAAGCATCCGCCAAGGTAGCCGATACGACAACAGCGGCAAAGCATCCGCTAGAGAAGAGAGCGCAGCCGCAAGTATCCGCCTGAAATGCAGCGCAGCGGCAAAGCATCCGCCAAAGTCCCCAACAGCGAGGCAGCAAAGCATCCGCCAAGGTAGCCGATACGACAATAGCGGCAAAGTATCTGCTAGAGAAGCCATGACGCCCAAGTATCCACCTGAACTGCAGCACGATGGCAAAGCATCCGCCAAAGATAAACCGCGGCGACAAAGCATCCGCCATAGACGACGGCCATCGAAGCTAGGCCATCACGCCCTTAGCAGCAAAGCATTTGCCAGAGGGGGAGACCAATGCGACACTGGCGGCAAAGCATCCGCCCAAGCAACAACGATGGCAAAGCATCTGTCCAAGTAGAGTGAAAGCGACAAAGCATCCGCTACACAGCAAATGACTACGGTAACACCAACCAACTGCTAGACAAACCAAAGTGAAGAATAGCATGAAGCACAATTAGACATTAGGCACGCCCGCAGGAATGCTCCAAGGAAGCCTTCATGAAGGGGACTAACATCCTCGGACGCCATCATCGTTGACAGAAGCACACGGGATTTTCATCCCAGAACCCGCCTCGGCGACACACGGTGAAGACAAGCTTCGGCGATGCCTCGAGGAAGGAACATGACGCAGACTGCGCCACCGTCGTCGGCCCAGAACAAGAAGTTGGGCAGGGTAGACCCCCAAGCACAGAACTCGACACCGCGGGTTGGGAGGGGGGCTGCGCTGCCGTGCTAAGGGGATCACACGATGGCGAGCAGCAAGATTCGACCACCCATGATGGCCACTGTGCAGGGGACAGTGGAGCCGGAGGAAGCCTTTCCCAGGCCCACCGGAGGTGTGCGTTCCCCAGTAGCCCGTTGCTGCCCTGGCCGGCGGCCAGAGGGGGTGGCGGTGCGCCACGAACCAGAGCCGGCCACAACCATGGAGGGAGCCGGACACCACCGCCATGGCTCCGGCGGTCGCAGGCCGTCCCAGGACAGCCGCAGCACGGACCCGCCCGCCGAAGACCCCGACACCAAGCAGAGGCCGCCAAAGCCACGAGCCGCGACCAGATCTAGCGAAGCGGAGCCACCCCGTCCGTCGACGCCTGAGGACCCGGCCGCCGCCACCATGGGCTTGGCGAAGCCAGCCACTCCATGGCCGCTGGCCGCCGCCTAGCGCGCTCCAGGAGGCCGCGTGATGCCTGCAGCAGCCGCCCGGGGCGAACCCACCAGGTCCGGTGTTGGGGAAGGCAGATCTGGCCCCCAAGAGTCCGGATCCGGCTCGCCGTCCATCAACTCGCCGGAGAAGCCCAAGGAAGAGGCAAGGTGGTGGAGGGGTGGGAGGGAGAGGGTGAGGAGAAAAGGGGGGGTGCGACAAGAGCCTTTTTTCGGGCTGCCGCAGGCCGCCGCCGCCGCACGCCAGAGGGCGGCGACGACGGCCAGGAGGAGACGGGGAGGGCTGGCCCTAGGGCGCCAACGAAGGTCGCCCCCGAGTCGCCCTTGAGGAGCGCTCCGTTTTACTTTTGTTTGAGAGTTTGACAATCATAACGATTATTAGATATATAGCAAAATAGATATTATGAGAGTTTCTGCAGAGTAGACTTGTTAAAAAAGTCATTACAGCCCAATACTCCTTTCACCGATGTACGTGTTATTGCTAGCTGTATTTATTCTGTCCCCTAAATATAATTAAGCTAGCTAAGCAAACAGACGCTTAAATTTAGAGATTGATAGTAATTTTATACTCCCCCGGAGGTTAAATTAGCATGAGTACAAAGGCATTCAATCAGTATGCATCATTAATCAATGGTTGATGTGATCATCACCATAACACGATTGACCATGAGTTTTGTTCCATTTTCTTTTACGGAGTACGTGTTGATCGAGTGGGTCGGCAAGCTAAAGATAGCGAAGTGACTCTTCTAGCTTTACCTAAAAAGAGCTTGCGGTCCAACAAAGCTGTAACACTTCGGCAGCGGTCTTTGGGGGGTTTGAACCCGTGTAACCACAAGAACCCCATATGAAAAGCAGCCAAATGCATGATTTCTCGCATGAAGGAGCAAAGAAGAAACCGAAAGGAGGTGGAGAATAGAAAAGTGACAAGTGCAAATCCTCTGGTTTTCATGAGTCATGACCAGTAACTTTAACTAACTAACTAACTATATGCGCGTGTAACCTCTCCGGATGGTGTGTAACCGAAATTTCAATCTCGATATTTCTTAATACAAAGATGTGCAAGGGACCTGGACTAGTTATTATCCCAACTAAAGTTTAACTGAAAGTTTAGATGATTAAACTTTAGTTCTATATGCTGTTTGAAGACATGGACTACTGAGATGGACTAGCGACTAGTTGAGCTAGACTAAAAATTTGTCTACCTTTTGGTCTGTTATCCATTTGGATGGTCTAGGACTAAACATATAGTTTAGTCTAATGATTCAAACAGGTCCAAATTCTCCCATATATAATTGAGAAAGAAAGTGCCAGACTTATTTATGAAAGCGCATGTATATTCACCCTACTTACATCAAGAGTCTGTATTTTGGCTTTCAACTTTGAATCTTATTAGTTGTTCTAATCTTTTATCCACGTGTCAAGTTCAAGCTCTAGTGTTAATAATTGTACCTTTTGTTCAAAACTTCCCTTTATATTTTATTTTAAAAATTAGATTCTAGGTTCTAGACTTCACTCTTAGTTATCACAATAGCATACACAGACATTTCATCCTACACCACGACACTCACGATGTTGAATTTATTTGCTATATCGAAGAATTATATGTATAACAATGTTATTTTATTAAAGTATAGAGTACTTAAAATTAGATTACTTGTCATAGTGTATAAACTTATCTAAAGAGGTTACTTTATATTGTCTTTCTTAATGATAGATATGATAATTAAAAAAAGTTTTGCAGTTACTTTGAATTATCTTTCATAATGATATAGGTGGGTAATTTAAAATATATGGGATTACCTTAATTATCTTTTATAATGACATAAGTGGATAATTTAGATGTAAATTTAGGGGTTACATTTACGTATTTTTTGTAATAGCGGACGTGGGTAATTTTTTAGAAAATAGAATATATCCAATATCTATTATTGGTTGTGATGATTAGACTCTACCAAATTGGCTAGATGTTATTTTTGTGAGAATTTCTATGGTTTATCTTTTTTCCTGGTGCATCTCATGAGAATTATTGTGGAGGCTTTGTTGGAACCAACCCACTCGGGCAAGTCCTAAGCTTGGTACAATATTCCTGCTATATATTGTACTCAATGGTGCTTATATATAGTAGCAACCGGGTACATGATTATGTTTATCCATCTGACAACAGAAAAACATCTAGATAATTCTTTATAGAAAGAAAAACATCTAGATAACTGATAGTGCTAATCAAGTATTGCTAAACCCAGTATCATATTTAAACAAGGTATATGTGGACACATTATAAATTAATTTGAAGCTTTTTCTCCCTCTCGGGTGCATACCAAGTGTCCCTTCCAGAGTAAATGGAGATGGCCAATATATAATTGCACTCTTAAGTTGATCTGCTTTAGAGCATTTGTTGTTGTGGGGTTGGTGCCACGTAGCTAACAAACGAGGAAAAGGTTTAAACCATGGTGCAATCACTTTATTTTAGTTAGTTTTTGGAGTATATAATGGAGCTCAGTAACAGAACTATACAGAGAAGTCGGTTGCAATGGCCATCTATTCTTATATATTCATATAGATTAACATCATAAAATTCACGTTTTAGCTAGAGTCACATTGAAAAATAGTTTATAATATATAATTCGCATGTTGTTAAATTATATGGATTTATAGGAATTAATTATCAAAGCTAGAATAACAATCGTTTTTACCAAATTGCAACATATTGGGGGTAGTTTTTGATACCTTGTGTCACAGAATCAGGTTGGATGGTACGTTGCGGGATACCCTTGCATCTGAAAGGGGTTCGGATGATTCATGAATCATGATGAGTACAAATTAATGACTTCTGACGAATTTGTCACAACAATCCTCTGAAACAAATTATCACACTAATTAGCTTCAGTTTTCTCTCCATTTCAATCATATCACGTACGTTTGACTGATCATCAAGGTCGGAAATACTTTCCTTATTGTGCATGCATCATCTATCAACAGCTACATATATATATCTAGATAGTATCATAACCATATACATCATAGCCATCATAAAGGACAATGAGACTTGAAACTTGTGTCTCTCATTCACCTTTCTTAAGTTCAACAGATTTTTGAAATTTGAATAAGAAATTAGAATTTTCAAATGGCTGGTCGTTCAAAAAGAATTTTCAAATGGGAAAAGGAACTTTTTCCTGTGTTTTGACTACTAGAAATTGAAGCTGTCTTCAATTCTCACTATGAAATAGGAAACCAATTACATGAAAATTCCATATCAATTGTTAAATCAACATGTTGTTAACAAAAACTGGGCGCATCACTTCTATTTTTATTATCTTTTTTTTGTATTTTTTACAGAGAAATTACAAAAGGGGGCTCCACTAGTTGATTAGCCACTTGAATTCGGGCAGCAAAAAAAACCACAAAAATGGGGGCTCCACTAGTTGATTAGCCACTTGAATTCGGGCAGCAAAAAAACACAAAAAAGGGGGCTCCACTAGTTGATTAGGGCAGCCATCACACAGCTTTGGTACGTGGCTTTAAATAGCCCCTCACTCCACCCTCCTCTACTCGTGCTAAAACGCAAACCCCAAAGCACCTCCACGATCGAACAAGCACTACTCTCTCACCACAAAGGCACAAACCAACACGATCTCTCTCGAAAATCAAATCAGCGCAAGAAATCAAAGTCGAGCAGCCGCGAGCGCAACTGGATCGAGGAGAGATGGCGATGGAGCCGAACATGGCGCGGCGCCTGTGGCACGTGGTGCGCGCCGTGCTGTTCATGCTCCGCAAGGGCATGCCGAAGCGCAAGCTGGCCATGGGCCTGCACCTCCTCGTCCACCGCGGCAAGATCGCCGGCAAGGCCCTCGGCAACCTCATGACCGCGCACGGGCACAACAGCCACCACGACAACAAGGCCGCCGCCGCGGCTGACGCAGCGGCGCCGCCTCCGCAGCAGTTCTCGTGCGGCCGCGGCCGCAGCCGTCGCGCCCTCGACCCGTCCCTCGCCGTCTACGACCCGCGCGGCACGCGCGAGGTGGAGTTCAGTTGCAGCAACACCCCCTCGTACCCGTCCCTCCACCTCAACCTCATCCCCACCGGCAAGCGCCGCCGCCGCAACAACAACAGCCGCCGCGGCACGCACCTAGGCGCGAACGGCGCCGAGCCCGGCTGGTACAACTACGACGCGGCCGACATTGCCAGGGTCTTCGAGATCCTCAACAACAACGACAAGCTGCTCAGCGGCGGCGGCGGCGGCGGCGACGACGTCACCAGCTCGGACCAACAACCGTCTCCCCTCGCGCTGATCGCGACGCCGTCGCCGGCGCTGTGGGCGAGCTTTGGCCGCACGCCCAAGCACCCGAGGCAGCTCAGGATCACCGACTCGCCGTTCCCGCTGAGGAACGACGCGGACGGTGGCCAGGTGGACCTGGACGCCGAGGAGTTCATCAAGAAGTTCTACGAGCAGCTGCGCACGCAGCAGAGCCTCGCCACCGCCACGCCGGACTACTACGGCGGCGGGTATGCGCCACCGGTCTCTGGCATCGCCTAGAAGCCATGAAGCCATGCATCCACATTACACACACACACACACACACATGTCCATAGAGTGTTAGCTTGGATGAACCTTAATTTTGTTCAGGTGTGAAGTGTGTAGTCTGTGCTAAACTCCATATACTATATATTAGTAGCAGTGTTTGTGCATGCATGCATGGATAAAGCATGTTCGTTGAGAGCAAGCTACTCATAGAGCTAGTCTAGAGCTTGGTCTTGGTGAGGGAGAGAGATTTTGCACAACAACATGTTTGCAAGCTAGATCCATGCATGCATAGTATATATATGTGTAAATTTTGTTTTGGCGGCATGTATTTTGCTGCAAGTAATATGGTACAGGTTGTAAACTTGCAAAGACATTAGCACTGAAGAAGAACACTAGTGATAAGAGCATCTCCGAGATCCTTTCTAAATCACATTCTATAAATCATTATTTGGAGAGTCATTTATATAAAAATCGTTTTCTATATCTTTTCACTCTCTAGTAATTTTTCTGTATATCATGTACACTCTAGAGAGTCATTCTCGTCTTCTATTTTTTGCTAGCGAAAAATCAAGAATAGAAGATAACTATATTTAGATGACCATTTAGAAACAGAAATGCTATACCATAAAAAAAAACTGTTGGATGGTAGTTTTTCACCAAAATCTCTACCCCTAGTATTTAGGAATGATACGGAGAGTCTCTCGAAGATGCTTTTAGATCGTAAGAATTGCTCATGTGTGTGGTTCCTCATGTCCTGCTGGCCCCGGCCACGAGAGGACTTGTACGTAGTATTGTTCTAGAAACCACTGCTACATGTAATATTCAGACAATCTTTGGTCGACATGCTGTCGCAGATCGATCGAGCTGTCGTACGTCTTACATCAGAGAATCGTCTAATCATGAATATACAAAGAGGCTTTCTGTCCTATATATCTAGCATGTGATGAGATTTCATTAATTTTTCATTCTTTTTTGTTTTTCGGATCTTAATTACATAACAGTTTGACTAACACTAGTATAATTATTCTTGATCTGAGTACAAAACTATGAAGCTCCCGTGTGGGCTATGATAAGCTGGAACGGAGGCCCAGACTTGATATAAGCTGATCAGTTCTTCAAGGATATCGCTGTCTGAATTTACTGTGGCTTGGACCATTCATGATGTGTAGCAATCAGCCTGCCAAGGGATCGATGTCAGCCGTCAGCAGTGTGGTTAGATAAAGTGATCATCAAATCTCCACGAGGAGACCTGAACTACTGGATTGATAGATCATTAGGAGTAGCATATAGACGGTGTGAAAGATCAGTTAAACGGACACGAGCATCGTGGTTAATTTGGCCCTGTTCGCTTGAACTATTTCAGCGGTACTTTTCAGCGAACGAACAGTGTTTTCCTCTCGCAATAAATCAGCATAAGCCAAATTTCAGCGAAACGAATAGGGCATATCTTGAAAACCATGATTATCTTAAAAACAAAAAAGAATGAAATCTTGAGTAAGTGGTTTTATTCACTGTTTTAAAACCTAAGTCAAACTGTTTTTTAAGAACTTACGCAAGAAAACCTAAGTCAAACATAATTTGCAGTTTTACATAAGACAATTTAGGGTAAACTTAAAAAAGTTTTGACTTAGGATAACTCTATAAGTGGTTTTATTCATGGATGAAGGGAGTATTTCATCTACAGAAGATATATAGTTATTATTTTGAAAAATTGTAATCGATGCACTTTGTTATTTGAATTGATCTTATTGGAATGAGACCTTAGAACAAAGTGGATTTATATTTTCCTTTCTAAAGTTGGTCCAATTACTCTCATGCATTCCTTATAGGTGATGTTGATTTCCCATATACTTAACTGAAATGGTACCTCCCTAATTAAATCAAAGGGACTTTATGGTATTTAGGGAGAAGATTAGATATTCAGCATGTTCGCTTGTTGGTTTCAGCTAGTGCTTATCAGCCATGGTACAATATTTTTCTCTCACAACAAACCAACACCAGCCGAGCTTATTAGCCTAGAAACCAACCAACGAACAGGCTGATTGTGCATTCGATTTATACATCCAATGCCTCTCTTTTTTCCTACAGTAAACTCTATAAATTTTAACAATATAATATTGTCCAGGGGAATCTTGTCATTGTTTAGCTGTGACGACTACAGGAAAGTTTAGAATTGTACTCCCTCTCTTCCAAATTATAAATCGCTTTGACTTTTTTCGGTACATCCATTTTGCCATACATCTAGATATATATAATATAAGTATGTCCAGATACATAGCAAATTCTATGTAACAAAAAAAAATCAAAGCGACTTATAATTTGGAACAGAGGGAGTACATAATACGATAGCTTGTCAATATATAGTTGAAGCCCGAGAAAACACATAGGAGTACCGATAATGCAGTGATCAAAACCAAGTGTCATTATCTTGGTTTTGCAAAATCAAGTTGGGAGAGGGTAAGGCAAAGCATTGGCACCCTATTGGAGAGAGCTACCCCTTTGCGTGTTTCGCCAGTTTTGAGTAGGGAACAGCCACAGGATCATGAAGTTCCCCTCACCTCACCCCTGTTGGTTGTTGCTTCGTGAGTAAGGCTGGGAAAAGTCTGGCTCTGGTTGGACCGCGGCCGCGGCTCGCAAACCGAGGGCGATCGATCTTCGTCGAGGGAAAGGGGCGCTAGATACGTGTCCTCTTTTGCATGATCGCAGCACGCGTGCAGGAGCCTGATCCACTTGGTTGCAGCGTCTATATGTATGATGATAGTAATAATAATGTGATGATAGGGATGGCGATTGGCGACCGGTCACGGAAAAATCGTCAAAGCAGCAGGCAGCGGAAGCAAAGGCGGGCGCCCCTCTCCTTCCGAGCACCCCACCAAGCAGTGGCGGCTCCCAATCCAACCACTCTCCACTGGATGTCTGGCGGTGGCGGTGGCGGCTGCGGCTGCCGAAGAATGAATTTCGCTGGGGCTGGGGACCCTCCGACTATCACTGGCGGCCAAGGTTGATCTGATCGTCCGTGATGCAAGCCAGAGGCATCATCAGGCCCAGTATCCAGAGCCAAGACCATCTGCTTGTCCACCTCCACATCCGCCCCACTTGTGCTTGTGCATATGCAGATGCACTGCCTGGGAGGACACACGTACGTGTACAATGTACGATAGCTGTCCGTTGCTCTTGCCCCTGGATTCGGGAACGAAAAAGCGGAACAAATCATCTCATGGACCAGCTCGATAAACCATCAGGCACACCACGTACAACCACACCACTGACGACGTACATGTACGTAAGCTTTTCAGCTTAATCAATCATGCACGCGTTCCAGAGAGACCCATCCTGTGCTGTGACTGCACCCCACAAGTTCATTACAATATAAATATGTGGCGTCTAATCGCCCAGACTTTCATTATTATTATTTATTTATACATACACAAGTAAAGCACACATAGCACAGCGCCATCCATCGTCCATGATCCATGCTCGCTTGTCGCTATCAACAAAGGCAGGAAATGTGACGGAGACCGTCCCAACGCGCCATTCGCAAGGACCTCCTCACCACACCACAGGCCGACAGACGCGTGCTGTACGTTGCTCTTGCTCACGAGCATGCCCTGTCGTTGCCAAATGCGAAAACAGGCTTTTATTTCACCACTGCTAACTATGCATATCGATCGAGGCTGTGCTTCTTGCTTTGGTCAGAGCTAGCTAGTGTTATGTTATTTATTCCGCTACGTTGTGTGAACTGCCACGTTCGATGATTTCGCTCCCAGATATTTGATTACCGCACCAAGGGCAAAACAGTCCTTGCACAAGCACTAACCGTTCAACCCTACTACTGTCCACACATCAGAATCAAATCGCACTCGAAGCACCGTTATGCTGGTGGGTTTCTTGTCACCGTCGCCACTCCCACTCCTTCACCTTAAGAGGGAGAATTTTTATTAATTTCCAAACAAATTATTAAATAATATGCATAATAAGTTAGTTATTTCTATTTCCAAACACATAAGGTTTAATTATCAGCTACTCATATGCACCGTAGACTTCTCATCCAAGGGCTAACCAAACAAGTGCCTAGGACTTGACCATTTTGGGCGTGTTAGGCTGGTGGATAGAGGTCGTATCGTATATCTTGGTTGAATGGATGCAAGTTTAGTGGAACTGTATTTCTGAAAAAAAAAAGATTTTTGGATGTGAAAAGAAGATTGATGAGATCACTAAATATGTTAGGGAAAAAAATCACCTGTTATTGAACAAATTCTTAGGGCACTCCCAATTAATTATCTTGCCACATAGACATTTTGCTAATATGGCAAGTAATTTATTAAGGAGAGAGAGTAAAAATTGAAGAAACAATTTCTAAATAAAAAACTGTGTCTTCATGGGAATCAATGGTAGAAGAAACTATGGGCGCTGCCTTAGAGAGGGCTGCTCGTTACTTCCTATAGTTGGATGGGGATAACGGATTGACTGGGGATAAGAAAGGGGCCCATACGAATTATGCATCGTGAGGTGTGATTTCCGTGGGTAATTTCTTAGGCTATGGAAACTATCAAGTAGTTTCTGCATTGAGTGCTTTTATAGTCAAGCATCTATATTCAATGTTTTGCTCTCTCTATCCCAATATGTAAGGGCATCTACAATGATGTTAACTATATAGCTAACTTACATGGAGATAAGAGACAAAAGCAAAGGCTAGTTTATACATTCTTATTTTTTGTGTACTATTGGACCTATATGTTATTCTCTTAGATTCTTGGACTATGCTAGTGACTATTCTCTCTCCTACTTTTTTCCCTGTCCATTCCAGAATAGCTAGTTGTTGGGACACCCTAAGGCGTAACCAACTATGGTTCAAAGATCAATGAACACATTTAATTCTCTCTCTCAACACTAGCACTACTGTATCGATGTACACACGTACAGAGAGAGTACGTCTTACATTTTGGAACATGAATAAAAATGGTTACGCCTTATATATTAGGACGGAGGGAGCAAGAGCTTGATAGAGCAAC